ATAGGTTTTATTTTATGGAAATGTTTCTAATTAAAAAGATGTAGATTGGAATAACAATAATGACGTCATTCTATGTGCTGTAGGTAAAGACAGATAGTACGTCAAAGCTGAACATTGCGGCATCTGATAGTATAAGTGCTATTTTGCAAAAAAAAAAATTGCAGGATCAATGAAAAGAATGAAATGGTAATATTAACATATTAAGTGACAGAAGAGAGCTGGGCATACGAAAGTTTATTACTTTCGTATGCCCAGCTCAAAACGATAATTTAGAGAACTTATGGCTCTCGAAATTATTGAAAAATATAGTTATTCAAAGATTTCTAGCTTTAAACATACGTGGAGCGGAAAGTAGAGGAAAAAGGTGTCTCCATGAGCAGAAGATTTATACTTGTCACCTTTATTTGTCACCTGTCATCCGCTTTGCAATGGAGGGATATCGAACCTTACTTCGAACTCCTCCTATGTCCTTGTAATTAATCAGAAGGACATAGGAGGAGTTCGATAGTTCGTTGCGGGTCCAATTACAGTTTAACTTTCCCCCGGGACAAACTTGACTTTCACTGGTTGGGTTTTTATTGGCGGTCAAGCTGTAGATCCTGGTTACACAGGAGTTGCAGCGGTGGGAACGAGAGGTGGGAATAGTCCCGTTACCTATTTATAACTCAATTACTTCATAATTCCAGTCACTCTAAAGCCCAATAGTTCAAGTTCTGCACAATAGTAGCGATCGGACTTCGCCCGCACAATACAGGTGGCGGAAGCGTTCCGACGCACAGCTGTTGATGGCATATGGCTTTCGTACGGTGGCCAGATGCTGACACACTTTTAGCAGGACATAACTTCTCAGCAGAGAGCAGTTTTCGCGAATTGTTATTCGGGTTCTTTCTCACGGAGACATCCTGTTTTTTGCAGGAGCCCGTTTAGTAGAATGTACGTGTTTTAACAGTAACATTTTCACGAACAGCCCTTTCCTGGACGCTTGCCCTACCACCACTTCGGCACAATATGGGCTGGAACGAGAGTTCAGCAGTAAATATGTCACTACTTTTTTACGTTCTGCCGTCCAATCTTGTCCGGATTGTCATCCGATCGCGTGGTCACCCTCTTATGCAAGTGTACAGTATAGTACATTATTATTCGTAACAATTTTCCCTTTTGTTGGGAAAAATTTCAATGTGCGCGCAGCTTTCAGCATATTAAAGTGGATTCCCTTATGAATTTGACATTGAGGAAATTTAATACAGTGTGTGAATACGATATTACCGTCACAGGGTGGTCAAACGGTTGATACTGCAGTAGTGACCATAGCTCCCGGGTTCAATTCCCAGTGGTTTTCAATTTTCATCTCACGACAAAGTAGAAATAGATGTTTCCCAGTTTGATTAGGGCCTTGAAGACTTGATCAACAACCAATAGATCATACTTTGGAGAGCAAGCTCGGTCTTATTGAGCCACGTGGCTGGCAGCTTATAAAGATTTTGTATATTGCTAGCTTAAAATAATATGTCTGCAAATTAGTTCTCAATATTTCATGTTTCTTCTTTTTAGGCGTTCAACAAAAAAGAAACCATAATAGCTATCAAGAAAAAGTCTAGAGTTCAATTGCTTCAATTAAATCTTAAAATTACCATAAAATTATATGCTATTTGGATTTATATTTCGCAGAGCTCGTTAAAATCCTCATTATCTTTCATAATTAGTTGTATTTTAATATCGTAACGCTTGAAAATCCAATATGCAATGCTCAAAGCTCTATTCCGGGAAAAGATTAATAAAATATAACATTTATTCGAAAGCTCTTAATGGACAGCTTTATCTCTGTGCATACAACTTTAAGCTTTCAGCGTGAAGCAATAAACTACAAAGTTGTGTGCGAACAACTAAGTCCACTTGAAAATACATTCGCAACGTTGTATTTTGAATGTATTTCGTTTATGTTTGTTATATTTTATAACTAGCGGCCGCCCGCGACTTCGTACGCGTGGATCCCGTTTTACCCCCTTAGGGGTGGAGTTTCGTAAAAACCTTTCTTAGCGGATGCCTACGCCATAACATCTACCTGCATGCCAAATTTCAACCCGATCGGTCCAGTGGTTTGGGCTGTGCGTTGATAGATCACTATGTCAGTCAGTTAGTCAGTCATATTTAGATAAACTAGTTTAGTTTGTAGAGTCGACAACACATCTGCATCAGGCCAACTTTTTTGTTCAAAAACGCTTGTATATTTACATTTTACAAGAAGTATTGGAAAAACCGCTAGCTGAAAATAAAATAGTATCATTTGATACTCTGTTTCATTTCCTACATGATCCTCTACCACTAGTGAATTAAGAGTTGTATTCTTTAAATGAGAGATAAACTAATGACAGTTCAATATCCAGACAAGACACATACAAACAATGCTAGATTTCAGACTATAGTATTGTAAAAGGGTTCCAGCGCCAGAGGCCATCTAGGTATAAAAACTTGAACTACTTAGGGTGGATTCGACCAAACAAGAGTAAATATTAATCTCAGAATAAATCGTCAGTTTTGACATATTTCCCATACTGAAACTGTCGATGTGCCAGTTATACCAGGAGTTATTCTCGGATAAAAGTTTGGTCGTATCGGGCCTTAAACTTTTACGCGTATTCTACTGCTTATGTGGTCAGGGTCTGTGTGGACCTTCGCAAAAGATCCCTTTAGTAGCGCCCCTTTCTAGAGTAGTATTCATAATAATAACATACATTTGAGCAAGTGCAACCCTTTCAAACAGCCACTACACACACTAACGAAGGGGATTTTAAAATTCAACCTATAGGCGAGGGTGGAATATGATTCTGAGTGCAGACAAAGCCGCGAGCGTTTGTAGCACTTACCTACCCCTATACAGGGTGATTATTAACTTAGTTCCTAGAATAACAGTTTGGGAAAAGTAATGTGCTGTTCTATTTGAAGTGAAATGAAAGTACCTAACTATCAAAGTCAAAGTCAAAATTTCTTTATTTGTTTAGACTAATAAATAGTTCTTACAAATCGTCATTTTGCTCTTAAGTGCAAATATTCGTGTTAGATCCACACATACGTAACTAAGGGCTATATTTCACCGGGACATGGTGTCCCGGTGAAATATAGCCATAAGTGATGACCATTTGCATTTCGATAAGTTGAATTCATTATGAAATGAACATGAATTTTCGTATGGATGACCCCAGCACATCAGGGTAAATGCTGTTGCATTTTATAAAATTTCAAAAGGAGCTATTTTACACATAACTTTTAAATTCACTTGTTCTCATCATTGATAGGAAGTTCATTTACTTACATTATTATTTAAGGTTTAATGCCATATAATTGGTAGGTACATAAGGCGAACTTTATTCATGCATATACATAGTGTAAGACCCGTGATCAATAGGCCTAGGAGAATGTTACTGGGTCTCGGAATTAGTTAAAATCAAATATGTAGTAGGAGACACTTTTGAATATCAATCGAATCGAACGCCCCGTATAAAGCGAATTATATCATAACAAATGGCGGATGCACCTGCGAAATTAATCCCACTCAAATCCACCTGCAATAGTGAACGTAATCCTTTCGAACGCGAAAATTTATACGAATCTAACTCGGGTTCAATGTTAACGTGGAACAATGAGGGCGCGCGATTGTGAGTTTTATTGCTTTGTGAATAAAGGTTTCTGAGGGAGACAATCGTTTTATTATCTTCCTATCCTATTAATATTCCTTTCACACTAATCCTACGAATATTATAAATGTTAAAGTTTGTATGATTGTTACGCCCGTATTCACAAACATTACTATGAGGTCTCAAAGTGCGCGTGGACGCACAGGGCGACACACGAACCAATCACAGAGCTCTATTCAACGCTGAGCGTTCGATTTGCTGCTTCACTTAAGCAAGCATCGTTTGTGAATACGGGCGTTACTCTTTCATGCAAAACTTCTGTACAGATTAAGGTAAAACTACAATATTATTGTTTATATGTACATTAAAATAAGACACTTTTGAGTAATTGACCAAGCTACAACTATCATATTACACTATCTCATGTGCTACTATTATGTTACAGTTTAACTTTCCCCCCCGGACAAACTTGACCTTAACTGGTTGGGTTTTATTGGCGGTCAAGCTGTAGATCCTGGCTACACAGGAGTTGCAGCGGTGGGAACGAGAGGTGGGAATAGTCTCGTAGCTACTTCTAGCCACTTTTTGGGGTTAAAAAAAAAATGGTAATCTAGAATCTTCGTAAAGCATGAAAAACGAAGATTTCACATCCAAATATCCACATTGCATCATCCGTACATGCACATAATTGAATATAAAATACGGCCAGTGCGTCACCGCATTCGTTTCCGATTACAAGAGGGGGGACATTATTCTGAATCCGATTCGCATTGCAAAACGTTTTGGCAGGATGCGTGACCTTATTACAATGGAATAGAGTTGCTGAAAATTGCTTTAAACGTGTTTAAAAATCAGTTGCTTTGTCTTTTCACAAAGATGTAGTTTTCCTCATACTTAGAGTTTTTGTATGTGATTTTTTATAGAAACTAATTAATTTTCCTACACGAACGATGTATATTGTAAATAGAATGAATGAATGTAATAAGCAGGTACAGTGGGCTACAGTTCCAGCTACCCATTTCCGTTTGTTTTCTCGCTCTCATCAATGGGCGATTATTTGCGATAGAACGAGACGACATAGGTAGCCAGAAATGGGTAAGCTGGAAATGTGGCCCATAGTATTATTAGAGGCCGGTCGATCTATTCTCATAAATAAAACACTGGATACTTAACTTTCACATTATATTGCCTTAATTTAGATACAATTCATCACTTAGCACAAAAGCGCGCGGAGTCGTCTCCGCGCGTCTCTCTATTCTGATGTTTGATTCTCGCGTGACATTGACAATACGTCAATGTCACTATGACAGCAGCTCATTGGCTATAACGATACCGCTATTTTAACGTTTTATATTTTTCACAATTAACAGTTCGGCCTTCCTGCAATTCCTTCGCCCTCGAAGGTCTGCTCATGGCACACTTGACGCCTCGTATTGGGATCCAGCTGAGCACCTGGCTAGATCCACTCTGCCATCTCCACCACCATTCGCACCACACGCTGACCACCTTTGGTTCTGCTGAAACGAGAAATCATCACACAATACATCTATATCATCGTCACACGGTACATCTATATCATCACACAGTACATCTATATCATCATCACACAGTACATCTATGTCATCATTACACAGCACATCCATATCATCTAGAAGCTCAGCGTGCTCCTCAATCAGTAGCGCCACGCCAATGGTCATACAGACGCTATCATAATTATCTCTTCGTTCAATATTTTAGAATCAGCTGCTCCAATAATGACAATAATGTCGATTACACACATGCCATCTTAATCTAGGCACCATAGCTCATATGCCCAAAATGTTACCACCGAAGAAACTCATCCTTTGATGCCCAATTAGGCCTTTATCCAAGGTTTCTATCAGGTTTGTTCAACCACCACAAAAATACAACTTATTGGTTCCGATAAACTCCAAATCATAGAACTGTAACCCATTCTACTTCCAAGAATGGAAAGAACCCTCACTGTTGATGAGCAGTGGACTGTATGTTCGTGGGCTAGGAACCGGCATAAATCTTGAAGGCAGAGTACTTGTCTTCATATTCAAGTATCTGTTGTTAACCCAGTCATTACAGGGAAGCACACAAAACAATCATCACCAATATAAACTTTATTTGATCACTGCTAGTACTTTGCTCTGTTGATACCATTATTCAAAAACATAACCCTCCTTCTGGCGCAGTCGGGTAAATAGCTAACTTTCGCACAGTACAGCAGTATACCACACAATAGGCCAATGCTAATGACCAATGATAAGCATTTATTTCTATTCAAACACATAACTCTCTTATTCACCATTATTAATAATAACTTTTTGCTTAAGACTGTTAGCGGCAGTTGGGAAGTTCTAAAGTCTAGCAGTAGACTGTAGCCAATTTATTATTACAATCAGTTCACACTCAAGTTAATTGTATGCTATTTCATGCCAATGACAAGAATAAGCACAGTTAAACAACCAAGCCGCAGTGGCACTGCTAGTCTCAACTCAACCCTTGCAATAAAACATTAATTCAACTCACCAAATATCACAGCTGATGCCCTTTTGTATTGCATTTTCACTCACCAAATATCACAGCTGATGCCTTTTGTATTGCATTACCTTCAGTCCAACTCCAAATCACTTATGTGGAGTACCCTTGCTCAGTGTTAGGCTTCACTCTGGTATTGTGCTTGACTGATTTGCTCACCACAGGGCCAACCCGCAGACAGATAAGTCACCACATCTGCTCTGGGGCCATCGTTAGTCAAATTGTTCACCACTTAGGTACGTGACCACAAGACAAGTTACGGAGGGAGTATCTTCATAATTTGCGTCATCATTTCTCGTACTTAAATACTTTTCTGCATCTCACCCCTTTGTCAGCGTGGTTTCCATGACATTCTCTCTTCATCATATTCAATTAGAACCATAGAATCGTGGGCGTTTTGTGATAACATTCGTGAAAAATAACACGAAACATTGGTCACCTGGAACACTTTGAAATCACGTTACTATCATAGGTTTCAGATCCCACTTCTGAACTACACTCGCGAGCAAAAGTATGGAATCACTTACATGAAGTTGTTTCCACGCGATCTTGTGTACTTACGAATTTGTTAGGAACAAAAAAAGTGGCACCATTTTAAAGATTAAACTTTTATCTTTAAATTGATACCAAATTCATTTAAATCACACCAGTATTTAAAAAGATATCCCGGCTGATGTGAAGAAGTAACGAAAAAGACATGTATCAACTGTTTGATACGTCGCGAGTTGCGGCCTATTTACCCCCTATAAAAGCACGCGTTTTCGGATTTTTGCTTTCACACGTTGATTCATACACATCTCTGCTTCTTTTGACACTTCACCTGGGATTCTACACCTTCAGAAGCAGCACAAATCGTTGCACTATTGCAAGAAGGGCTCAGCCAGCGGGCTGTCGCACGTCAGCGCCACATAAGCCAGTCCTGGGTTTCGAAAGTTTTAAGACGCTTTCGGGAGACTGATGGCTTTATCCCGAGACCAAGTACTGAACAGCGCCGGTGCACATCGCAGAGGGAAGACCGTTTTTTCATGTCAACCTCTCTATGAAATCGTCATTTGACTGGAATCGACGTCCAGCAAGAGCTCAAAAATGTTCGTAGGATAGCTGTTAGCGAGTAGACAGTTTGTCTAAGATATAAGCAATAGAATTTGACTAAACTTTCGAAACCCAGGACTGGCTTATGTGGCGCTGACGTGCGACAGCCCGCTGGCTGAGCCTTTCTTGCAATAGTGCAACGATTTGTGCTGCTTCTGAAAGTGTAGAATCCCAGGTAAAGTGTCAAAAGAAGCGGAGATGTGTATGAATCAACGTGTGAAAGCAAAAATCCGAAAACGCGTGCTTTTATAGGGGGTAAATAGGCCGCAACTCGCGACGTATCAAACAGTTGATACATGTCTTTTTCGTTACTTCTTCACATCAGCCGGGATATCTTTTTAAATACTGGTGTGATTTAAATGAATTTGGTATCAATTTAAAGATAAAAGTTTAATCTTTAAAATGGTGCCACTTTTTTTGTTCCTAACAAATTCGTTAGTACACAAGATCGCGTGGAAACAACTTCATGTAAGTGATTCCATACTTTTGCTCGCGAGTGTATTAGAGGCCGGTCGATCTATTCTCATAAATAAAACACTGGATACTTAACTTTCACATTATATTGCCTTAATTTAGATACAATTCATCACTTAGCACAAAAGCGCGCGGAGTCGTCTCCGCGCGTCTCTCTATTCTGATGTTTGATTCTCGCGTGACATTGACAATACGTCAATGTCACTATGACAGCAGCTCATTGGCTATAACGATACCGCTATTTTAACGTTTTATATTTTTCACAATTAACAGTATATACATTTTCCTTTATAATCACGTCATCCTCATTCAGGCTGAGTTGCACCACCTTATTTTAACCATAACAATAACAATAACCGGTGCTTTTAGTATGGAGATTGACAGATTTCTGACGTTTGTCAAAGTCAAAGTAAGATGGTGCAACTCAGCCTTAGTGACTCCAGGTAAAGACAGACAATAATGACTGTTTTCTAAAACTAAATTTCATCCTTTCCATAAATACCAGGGATTCATGTACAGTCGACGTCAAATAGTTTGTGCCACCCAAAGTGACCAGTAAATTCAAGAGGTGTTGCAAACTTTTTGGCTACTTTCGGTGTCACGAACTATTTGACGCTGACTGTACAGTCACGGACACAAAAAGTATATACTTACTACACTACGTAATCATTTGGATGCCGCGATGCAATGAAGTTTAAATTCAAATGAAACATTTTATATCAACTAATTTTGCACGTAACATACTATGGATGGATGGTATTTAGAACCCTTCTTGTGTAAGACCGACTTCTACTTGTTTTATTTGTTTATGTGGAAACTAACTCTTCCAGTGGCAATATAAATTAGCTAACACCTTAACAGCATTATTACGTCACGTTCAGTGTGACATTGACATCTCGAAGGCACAGTATGGTTTGTGTGAAGGTATAATTAGCGTGGTACAGTCAGACTATACATTTATGTTGCAATATCACCGCTATTACAACTGATTAAAATCCTTCTGTCTGTATTAAGCTTGACGTGCTGTCTTCAGTACAACTGTATGTTAAGTGTTTTGCCTAAAATATTAGTCAGAGGCAATGTGTTATGCTAATATGTGTTTAGAACTGTTCGTTTTGGAGATTAGATTGCAATAGCACTGATGTAAACAGAAAAAAATGGTTTTAATAAATTGTTTCCACCTGTCTCTATCTGATGCCAACATCTTAAGAGAGACAGATGAAGTTGAATGTCGAAATCGACTTGCATATTGTTTGTGGAGGCAAAGATTACTTAATAGTTATTGTATGTAGGTAGACCGACATATCAATGACAGACTACAAAGAATGGCTGAAAACTACTAAATGTCAAGTAGATTTAAAGTTTTTAATAATGCAACAAGCACTTTTATGTAAAAAATGTAATAGATATTATCAAGTACAAGATTACACACACGCCTCTTTTTGAATTTTCCTTTAGCTAAAAATTTCGATCACTACACTATCGCGATCTAACATACAACCAGCGCCATCTCTTGATCGCGCAAAGAACTAAAGCCTGGTGCGCTCGCACACTCACTGCGGGCGCCCGTCGTACAGTCGCGACAGCAATATAATTACGCGCGAGCGATAAGGATGGTTAGCTTGGGGTCATTGGACAAAATTCTACGTGCTCACGGACCAGGCTTTACTCCCAAAAACGAGTCACCCGCTACATCTCCGTACCGTAATCCTGCATAATAAAACAATACAGTACTCACGCTGCATGTGTATGTGCTGTTTGGGCATCTTGTAGTCCGGCGGGTAGCATCGCTCGTAGAACCCGAGGTCGGTGACTTCGCACACCTCTGGTGTTGGTATTATGAGCCCCGTGCCTGATATCGCCCTCTGGAGGTGGTGCTCCTGTTGACAAAGGAAAGGGATCTGTTAGAAATCAAATATATCATTAGAAAGAAGAAAGTATAAGTCATAAGTGCCACTTGTGGTCTAAACTGAATAAATATTTTTCTTTTTGATTTTGATTTTTTTGATTTTGAAAAGTTAGAGATGTTTTTAAAATCATTGTCAATCCATTATCGCCATTCATTTTTTTTTTAAATCGAATTCTGAGTTGAATTTTTTATCGTGGTTTGTACTTTTGTTAAACTTTGGCGGCTCGTAACTAGTTATCCAATCATTATCTGGATGTGAAATTTATTTTGTTTGACTATAAAGACACATTCGATATTAATACCCATATGGATACTGTTTATCTGAAATAAATGATATTATTATTATTATTCTCGGTTTACACTTTAGTGTCTCAGCTCTAGGCTGGTATCAAAGGAAAGCACGGGCCTAAGCCAAGTGCGATCCCGATAAAAAGGTTGCGTTTTGTTCTTGCGGTTGTGCTGATGTCGGCTGGCTTATTATTATTATTAATACCAAATAAAAAAATTGGTTGAAAACACGCGAGAAAAAAATTTAAGGAGTTTTTAGGTTAAATTTCGGAAAAACATTAATAAAAATATCAATTAAAAAAAAGTAGCTCACTTAGGGTCAAAATGGGCGAACTCGTATTCTTAAAATGACCTTACCTATACATACATACACCCACGAAGTTTATCTAACCTTCCGCCAAACACCCCGTATTATATTTATTGCAATAAAGTTTATACACCACTAAATTTTTATCACCGAAAAAATTTTAACAGGTTATGTAGAAATGTGTGAAAAATTTAAAGCAAAAGAAAAATAAATGTTTTTCGTAAAGTTAATTTTTTTATGACATTTTCTTTAGTCCATATTTTACGCGTCACAGCTGGGTCACTCCGCTGCTCGCTAGAGTAGTCGTACGCGCTCGCACGTTGCATCGATCTATCTGTCTCGCTCACGCCTCGACCACGCTTCCAGTGTTATTATTACATACATAGCTAATTTAGATCATTTTGAATTCTAATAAGTGTTACATTATCGTACGTAAATAGTGCTAGCGACGCGTGTGTCAATAAATTACCAATTTTAGGAGGATATTTTGAGTCACTTTATTTTACTTTTTTTTTTTGCACAAATGGAATCAGTATCAATAACTCATTACCCAGATTTTTTTTTTCGGTGATTAAAATTTAGTGGTGTATTTACAAAGCTTGTACAGACTACATACATCACAAACAGTGGGTACTATTTTTAACAGTTTCAATTTTGCAACAAAAAAAGTATAATAATTTGATGTGCCGTAGACAGTAGACTGTACAAACCTCGTTCCCACGGATAATTAACGTTACTTTAATTGATGCAACAGCTGTTTATAGCGGATGACGTCACAATACAATCGCTGTATAATGATGCAGTCGCGTCTTATGGAGACATCCTTGTTCGAGACAAGGGAAGAATATTGATGCAGGATTTACACTAAGCTTTTGGATCTTATGGTAAGTGAATAAGGTTCAAGTTATGGTGGAATATTTGACGTATAAAGGGTTAAAGGATGTGAAGTTAATTTTTAGAATTGCATGAAATTATGATTGTTAGATTTTTTTTATTTTCATCCGGGTAATAATTACGTGACTAGAATGCACGTAAATGTTATGGTACAAGCTTTCCCCGCGGCTTTAACCGCATGGATTAGGAATTTCTGTCACGAATAGACAAATTTAAAACAGACTTAACATAAATTATGCATTTTATTTAGTTTATTACCAACGCACGATATTAAGATGAACAGTCTACATTTACGGACTAGATACAAAATAAAAATAGCCCAACACTTAACAGCTTTTAGGCCCCATCGTGGAATAAATTATTTATTTATAAAAATATCCTATCCAAACATACACCTACGAAAAATGTAGATGAGTGCCTTAACAGGATATGGTTACAAAGACTACATGTCACTTTATGTTAATAATGAGATCCGACTAAAATCCGAATAAACGGCGAACGTAAAAGGTTACGTCACCGTCTCGAAGTAGTAAAGTGACGTCACTGCGGTAATATTTTATCGATGCGTGCGTAGCGTCGTAAACAATAGATAGCCGATAAGACAACTTGTGGGTAATAAGTTCCAGGGTTTCGTTCGAGAATTTGCGAATCGTGCTAGATTTTTGAGTTGATTTAAAAAACAATAATGAATCGTCTGCCCACGCTACGTCTTCCAGACTGCGGTCACCACTCGAGAACCTTTCTGCGCCAACGGCCATCGTCTCTACGAGCTATGTGCCCCGCCCACTGCCACTTGATTTTAGCAATTCTAGACAACTAGGACCTACTAGATGGACCGATGATCTAGTATAGGTCGCGGGAAGAGCCTGGATGCGGGCAGCGCAGGACCGTTCATTATGGAAAGCCTTGGGGAAGGCCTTTGTCTAGCAGTGGACGTCATTTGGCTGAAACGAATGAACGAACGAACTACGATACTAGTTTATAGGAAAGCTTAAATTCGCTTTTCGCCAGGATAACTAATATTTTTACAGCGAAGTAGTTAATACTTTTTAACTTTTTTAAGTCATTTTCTATTTTTCTTCTTATTGATAACAGAACGAGTAACTTAAGGCTCGCTCTTAAATCTTTTATTACAAATATGTAATAAAAGGCTGAATCATAATAATATTTTATCATACTTGATTCATAATAATAGCTTATCGACACCGTAAAAGTAATATGGCGCCATGAAACACATTCAAATGAGTTACGGTTCCACGGATTCCGTATAAATTAAATAAATGTAAAAATAAAATTACTACATTACTCTTTCTTTGGTTTTAGGCTTTACTTGCTATGGTATATCAAGGGATATGAGTGCCACGTGGCTATACTAAATGTATGGAAGCTGGAAACAATTAATTTTAGGATAGATCCAGTTTACTCTGTAACCTATAATATTATACCGTTTGGTAGAGCTCACGAAGAACTTTTAAATAAATAAATAAACAGTTTTTAAACGTTTTGCTAGTTTACGTTACGACCGTAGGAAATACAATCATTATACCCGGTTGAACTTCATTACAAATGTTATTATTTTAACCCACACTATGGAAAGCTATTAAAACCCCTTTAAACTGACATAATGGACCACCAAGACATGCAATAGTAATTTTAAAGCATCACCGAAACGCTCCGGCGATTAAGGGACCCCAGGATATGCCAGTGATTCTCAACATAAGGCGCATTCATCCCAAATATTGTAATAGAGCCGAACGTGATATCACATAATGTCTCGCACAATTATACCTTATATCTTTATGCGAAGTTGACCCCAACAACAACATTAAACAAGTCTCAACCGTCTCTATGGTATAGTGATAAGACCCAGAAGATCCGGGATCGATTTTCTGCTCTATTTTTTTAGGTTGGCAGCAGAGCTGTTTTCTAAGGCTGCGTTTCCACTAGAGATGTGCGCGCCTCGTTATCGTCATCCTCACTCATCTCTGGTGGAAACGCAGCCTAAGTCCACCTGTCTAGCTTGCACCATCTCACCTAAGTCTATCACCATAAGCATAACAGCATTAATTTTAAAAGCATTGTTGTGTGCCCGCTCTTGGAGGTAAGATAGACGCTTGCTTACCTTCGGCCTGATCATCCCTTTCCATCAGATGTGATATAGGCCAAGAGCTTCCTCCAAGAGATTTGGGGCTTTTGTCCACATGGATACGTCAGATTGTTAGGGCGTCCAGTCTCGGAAAAAAGACACGAGACCGAGACGAGACTTCATGGCCAGTCTCAGAAGTATCAAAATATTTTTTGTGGTCTAATATTGTTAGTCGTCGTTGAGGATACAAAAAGTATATTCACTATCGTAGATCCCGTCTAAAAGATTGGGAACCGTACTGCGTAAATGAGTGCGTTTAAAAAAAGAAAGAAACCCAGAGTCACGGTAGACCGTCTCGAATCCAGCATTCTAAATGGAACGATAGAACGGAGGTCGAACTACATGACTGTGTACTAAACTGTGCTATTTCATTTAAGATTTCAAGAAGTATGTAAGTGGTAGATCGCCCAGGGTTTCGTTAGTAAACCGTAGACCTTATGTCTAATCAAGTTGGCCACCCTTGGAATAGAGTGTGGGAGTTAGACGAATTTGCTTTTTTTATATGGGTACGTCGATAGGTCGGCGTGTACTTGACCCAAAATGTGTACGTAAGTATTTATTTGTAATATCATTGCGATGTGAAATGCAAATAACGATTTGGCATAGCCCAATATTGAAACTTTAACATTTAACTTCTTTATTGAAATGATTTGATTTGAACTCTTAAATGTCATAAATGTGAATGTCTTAAATGTGTATTGCTGTTGGTGTACTTTTATCAATAAATAAATTAACTCATAGAACATAACCCTCTATAATTCTAAATCATCATCATCATCATCAAATTTTCCAATTTGAATAAAATACACTTTGGCCCGCAGTTACAAAACGATGAGTAATCCGTCGACTGACCCGACCCAGGTCTTAACAACATCTTATAACCACATTGGTTGTGGCGTTGTGGGTTCAGTTGCTGGAAGAGACAGAAAAAAAGTCAATCCGGCGTTTAAAACCGTGGGCCCAGTTAAAAGCGGGGTTAGTCGACGGAGACCCAAAACAAGCTGTGATTCAAACTCAAGGCAAGCCTACGTTTCTTGTGGAAAAATATCGATGTCTGATTGAAACCCACGCGGCACGGTTGTGGAAAGTTTTTTATCTCCAACTAGTCACGTCTCGGTTCGCTTCGCCCCAGCTCCTGGGCTCGGGATTCGGTTACTCCTGCCAAGATTACGCGGCGGGATCTTAAATTATTACAAAAACAATTATTGTTCGCTGGATAACAGATGGCGCTGTGTTTCTCTTAGTTCACGCAAGCGCCCGATTTTTTCAGAAGAAACATTTGTAAATGTAAGCCCAGCCCACGTAATTCGTCGCTTCGCTAGCGTGGCCCCATAATTACAAAACGACACTCAAATTTTGATTCAATCTCGAATCAAGCGCATAGATTACAGCCAGTCAGAAACCCACGCGGCGAACAAAGTCGCGGTAAAAGTAAATAGTGGAAAGTTTTTTTTATCTCCAACTCGCTTTCCGCCCGCGGCTTCGCCAGCGTGGAATTTTGTCTGTCACAGAAAAACAATACAGTGTGTCCGGGTTTGTAGTGATCAAACTTTAAGGGCGTAATCTATGGACAATTTTATCGATGAAAATACTTCAAATTTGGGGCTTGACCCATTTCTCGCAAAATTACGAGGATTTAAGTTTTTAATTTTTAGTTTTCACCTCTTCCTTCAAAAACAAGTGAAAGCGTGGGTAACTTAACACTAATAAGCAAAAATTTTATATCATGCGATAGCCAATAAAATTATCTATTAGCAGAAGTAGAAAACAGATACAAGTTTCATACATTTTAAGGGAGTAAGAATGGATTTAATTAGAAAAAAACATGTGATAGGGATAGAGACATGCGACTTTTGGTTTTACAAAGATAATACGATAGAGAACAATACAAAGTAATAAAAACCACCGGTTATAGGGGCATTTTTTGGAGAAATTTATCAAATAACCAAAAAAACACGAATTTTTTAGCAGATTTTTTTCAAAAAGTATATTTTTTTATTATTTTTTGGCCTTTTTTGTGTATTTTATGTATTTTTTAGTATCGCCTGTTATTTAGCATTATTACTGTTTTTATTTTATTAGGATATACCGCTTAGTTTAAAAGTTATTACGTTTTCTTTACAATAAGTAATTGGAAGAAAAAAAATTCTATAAAAAATTTAAAAAAAATCTCAAAAAATTTTTGACCTCTTTTTTATCGATAAAAATAGGTCTAGTTTTATCTATTTTCATATGTACACTTTAACGTGACTCACACTGTATAGTCACGTCTCGGTTCACTTCGCCCCGACAACGGCTCCTGGGCTCGGGATTTGGTTACTCCTGCCAAGATTACGCGGCGGGGATTTTATTTTGACTCAGAAATATTATTTTAGTGAAAAAAGGGACTCCAGAAAAATTTTATACAGATGCGCTTATAGCTAACTAACAAATCTCTCAATTTGAACTTTCTGGCTTGCTGTTACAAAATGACACTCAAATTGACATGGCACGGACAAAGCCGCCGTACAAGCTTAGTAGAAACTTTTTTATCTCAACTAGTCACGCCTCAGTTCGCTTCGAACCGGCTCCTGGGCTCGGGATTCAGTTACTCCTGCCAAGATTACGCGGCGGGGATTTTATTTTGACTGCTGTTAAGAAAATTCGTGATTATCTATACAAATGTTGTTAAAAAAATATTTGAAGTTTACCAAAGGCACATTGCATGAGTCCAAATAGCTTTTAGCTTGTTTTATTTATTAAAATATTTAATTTAAACTTCAGGCAAACGAAGTTGCCTTACTTCGATAACAATAATATAGTGAAACGTATAGTTTACAATAAGACAACATATCAGAGAGTCTTCAAGATATTTTTAACATAACACCTATTTTTTCTGCCTAAGATATGATAGTGTGGATAGGATGGATGATATTGTGTTGTGATCACATATTTTTTATATACAGGAGAAAATATTCCAGTTTACGTTACTACGTATACTCAGTCGCAAAAATGAGTTGGGGGAAACGCTACTTGTGTGTGTAGACTTAGAGTAGTTAGTACAAATATTCGCTTAATTGAACAAAAACAAAATCACTTGTGCAATGAAAACAATGGGGATGTTGCCTGGGTCAAAAAGCAAGAGTTTTAATTAGTCCGTCAGTTAACTTATCAAAAAATACTCTACACGTATTTTTCACTTTTTCAAACTAATGAAAATTTAAAGAGATAAAGCGCCCCAAAGTTCATAAGAAGAGGCCCGTGACGTCAACGCTTGCTTAACCCTTAATTTAACTTTGTCCGGTAGGGCGGACACTAACTTTAGAAACCAAGTAGGGGGTGTTGTAAATGTTATTTTTATTTTATTCTACAATATTATTGTTTTATAACCTCTGAAAAAGTTTGTAGAAAGTGAACTTTGACGTTCGCAACACTGTATCTGTCAGTCGCGAACAAAATGTCAGCGAAGAGACAGTCATCTGTTTTCGATAAGGTAAATTATTATTTTTTTCAGTATTTTGCTGTTAAAAGCTCATTGTTTTTGCAATTTGTTTAACAATAATACGTGTATGATAATGTTTAGCTGAAATTCATAACATTTTATACATGTTTTGGTGTTTTTTTACTCGCTTGATCTCTTTGTCCGGCACAACGGACATTGTCAATTACTCACTGATATTCATAAAACAACTTTGTCCGCTGTGGCGGACATAGTCAAATTTAGTTTGTTTTGCGGTTATGGGTGTTTTCTTATGTTTTTTTTTTGTTTTTCATTTGTCTGAGGCATGCGCGTGCTTCAAGAATATTGGCTTTAGTCCCTAGAACCCGCTTCCTCAGACGCAAGTGAGAAATCTGATGTGATGTGCTTCTACTAACTCAAACTATTCTTCACCTGCACCCTCTATCGAAATGATAATGATATGATCTCTCTCTAATATAAATATTAGCTTTAGCTTCTGTTATAACGTTGCAGGTATTGTCAAAAAAAGACAGTGGTGTTCTACATAAAGTTTTAAACGCGCCTTTGCTTTGTGATGGGCAAAAATGCAAGAAACTGTTTTTAGATTTCCATACCAAATGAATGTTTTATGTGTTCGTTTTTAATGTTACGCTTAATTACTTACTTAATTTTTCTTGCCAAAACACCAATTTCCAAGGTGTTTTATTCTCAATACTATAAAAATTCTTAATAAAATTAGTTTATAACGATGTTTTTTTATTTATCCCCTATTTGCCAATGTCCGCCACGGCGAACATTCAAATCTACTCGTTATTTATGACGTCTTTGGCAGTGTCCGCTGTGACGGACACGAATTTTCCCAACTCTGGGAAATGCAGGATTTTTTTTCATATTTTTTTAAAAGTTTTTAGCATACCCTTCATGCCTTACATTCATCAAACTCATGTATTTCCATTTTTTATGTCGTTGCCAAATGAAGGGTTAAAAATGCCGCACGTTGTGACGTCGTGCGCAACTTCAACGCACCATAACTATGTAATTATTTGTTAGATTGACAAATAAAAATATATGTGTCCAATATTTTTTGATATTAAACATTACGGACTAAAAAAATTTTTTTAGGCAACTAGCCTATTGGAAATTTAATTGCTCAGGCCAAATGTAACAGTTTGTCCTAACTATTAATATCCAAAAATAACAAGTCTTGTATTTTTGTAGTCGACTGTACCATCATCCCGTAACACGACTACGGGAAATGAATTTATGCGGTTTTGTGGTAGAAAAAAAGGGATAGAAGATTGTTTTTTACATGGAAGACATCAGATCACAACATGAACAGTGCAGCCTCAGCATCTTATGTAGTTTCACTAGGGACTATTTTACAACAAAATGTATTGTATGATAGTATGTACTAAGGACTACACTGGATATTATTGTTTGCATCTGGTAAAATAACCGGCTCTGTGGTCTAGTGGTAAGACCACCTGGTTCAGACGCGGAGGTCCCGGGTTCGATTCCCAGTGGGGGCAGATTTTTCTGTTCGGTTTGGTTGGTGGTAGGGCTTGTTCTAAGTCCGCCTGGCTAGCTACCACCATCTTACAGAAGTCTGTCGCCATAACAACAATGTTAACAGCATTGTTGTGTTCCGGCAGTTAGAGGTAAGATAGCCAGTTCCTCCGTGGTTGAGGATTCCGGGTGAAGCTCGCTTCCACCTTCGGCCTGATCATCACTTACCATCAGGTGAGATACAGGTCAAGAGCTTCCTCGTTGTGGATTAAAAAAATAAATAGAAAAGGTCGTCCGTACTCAGTCTTCCAGCGACTTGGCCTATCAAAAATTCAATCCGGCTACTTGGCCCGTGGACCAAGCTAAAAGTGGGCCAAGACTTCGTGCTCCTGCAGTGGAGAGGAGACTCAATGACTGATGATGAATCAATTTAAAATAATTTTCTTAAGATATGGTGGTTCATTTATTATTTGATGACGTCAGTGTTGTAACACTGATACAACCACACGATTGAAGCAGATTAGTCTATTACAAGAAAGTACAAACATAAAAAATGTACAGCTACAATATACAATATTCCTTCAATCAAACAGAACGACAAGCCCATCAAAATGCACCTTCAGCCTATTAAAATAAAGACCAACTATAACTGCGCATAACCCGACACAGGCAGGTGGTATTTAACCCCTCAGTAGCACGTACAAGTTACGACAGCAGGTGACGATGACGTCACGCTCCAACGAACCCTTTTGTGTCAAACCAAATTATGTCATTCAATGTTAACCTGTCGAATTATAAATATTCATTTTATAACCCCGTTATTTGCAACGTGACAAGTTGTTTTACAAGTGTATCCTTTTCATAGGGTCCAGTTTTAATTTGTATAGAAAGGCCAGTCCACAAAATAGATTTTGTGGCCAGTCGGTCTCAGGGTTCGAGGATATATATCAAGGGATATATATCAAGATATATATCGGATATATATCCGATATATATCAAGCCGGTTTTGATGATATATATCAACTTTTAAAATTTGTTACTGTATTTGTACTTTTTGACATAAGATTTTTATTTTTTCAGTTGATTTTGCCATATTTCAAAGATATTTTATGTTTTTGCTTTATTTGTCTGATTTTAAGTTTTAAAAACATTAAAAACATGTTTATGTAACACATATGCAATAGTATTCATGAATAATACAATAAAATAATACTATGGCTTTCATACAAAATTGATATATATCAAAGTTGATATATATCGGATATATATCATAAATATCCGATATTTTGATATTTATAATAAATATCGGATATTTTCGAACCCTGGTCGGCCTACATATTATGTAATAGCTTTGTTCGAGGATTAACGTTTGTCACAGAAAGGATTTGAACATGGTTTAAATACAAACTATTCTCAAACACTCTTTTATAATGTTTTTGACAAAATTTAAGCCTTTTTTCCAAGCCCTTTGTCTTCATACAAAAATTCATCATAATTTTATACCACATTTTAGTTCAGGAGTGCAACAAATCAAAAAAGCGACTTATTTCGCTGTAAACCTACCTAATACAAATTAGTACCTAAGTATAAGTGTGGGCCTACGCCTCGGTCGGAGCACCAATCAACATACTTCTACTACACGTGTCCCTGTGGCAAAAAGGTGGACAAATTCGGTCACCATGGTCTCTGTTGCCAGCAAATCTAATACATCTAATAATAGTATTAAAAATACGAAAGTAAGCTCTCTCTGTAAGCTTTACGCGCGTTAACCACTGAACCGCACGGGCCAAAGCTTCCAAATAAAACTTTCGCAGCTTTTCACAAACATTTGCGAACGCATAAATCATTTAAACTCCCGCTTAATTTTAAATAATTTGTTTCATCTGGCGAGCAAACAGTTTACCAAAAAGTTACACAAATAAATCCAAACGTTGTCAGAGGGCGACCTTTTTTGATAGCGAAAAAAAAATTGCTTAGAACTCGCCGGCGCGTAAAAAGCCAAGAGAAAATAAGTGGGGTACGCCCGAAGGTATAATCTACACAGCTATAAAGTTAAGCTGAGGGTACATTAGTTTGCGATGCAACTTGCGATACGAAAACATTATTCAAGGCGAAAGCGAATTGGCATTTACTGGGGATGATCGCTTTAGATGAAATGTTGTATAGAGATAGTTTCAAGCTCAGAGAAAAACATAGGGTAGATTTTATGACGACTTTAGAAAGGGACAGACTCGCGCTAAACAAGCACTTTATGTGACAAACCGAAATTAAATTTACTCATTACTCAATAATTTATTGCATCCATAATGTTACAAAAAGTAGTACGGTAAGCTTAGATACAATTATGGACACGGTCGGGCACTGCATTTTAGGAAAGAGGAAGATTTTTTTGAAAGCTCGTTTCACTCTCCCAATCGCATGGCCTAGATCGCAGTCTAGTGTAGCCTCAGCCTTAGGGTTGGCAGGTCCAAAAGTAAAACCTCGTAGGTAAAAAAGCGAACCTTTTTAAAACGAATACTTTTCATGTCAAAATAAGTCGTGTTGAAAACGGCCATGATAAAATGTAAATATTTAATCTGGGTCTAGACTCTAGTACCCAACAGGTTTTAAGTCTAGCTAGACTATGTATATGTAACTTAAATTATTTCTTCTATAAATAGAACATGCAATCATATTTAATGTGTTTAATGCCGGGTCAGTCGCCCGTAAAATATTCAACAAACTGTTCGAAATCCAACGGCCAAATATACTGGGAAAGAAAAATGTTGTTCATCAATACTTTGTTTTATTTTACACCTCTTCAATTTGCCGCTTCCATTGGAAAAGAAAAGACCCTAGTTTTTTCCGATTGAAACGGCAAACTACCTGGAATTTCAGTAGATTCCAGGGCAGGTTCTGTAAAAAAAACTATGACTCTGATGAAATTTCTTCCAAAGAAGTTATTTTACTTTGTAATTGTAACATCAAAATTCAAAAATCATTCGCCCAGCATTTTTTTCTTATTATTCGCTTGCTTAGCGTTGATCGGGAAGCTACACAGCAAATCTTTTTAATAGACCACAATTCTAAAAAAGTTTCTGTATCTCCCTTTCTCTCTAAGAAAGTACATGGGTTAGATAGAGAGACAAAGCTGACATATCAAGATTTTATTAACCCCCCTAAACTTATTTTATCTTTGACTCTACCTGTCTTTCTCTTTTACCCTAAAACAGTGGACATACTGAGAGAGACAGATAGATGTACCATAACGATATCGTATCGCAAAATATACCCGCTGAATCAGCTGTACAAGGGTCATCGCCCCAGACTGCTTGACCGGTAGTTTTTCAACAATTCCTATAACAAGCAAAAACGACTAGACGTTCTACTAAATATAAAGTTGATAATTATCGTATTTGCATTCTTGAATATTTCGATCAGAGTCCTGCTAAATTAGCGGTATGGTGCTATAATAAACATTTCAAATTAAAGAGCAGTTATTTATTTATGTGGGAAATGAAGAATGAGTAATGATGACCGACGATCGATAGCGAACCAGACACAAATAGTGTAAGTAATGTTTGGAATGAAGGACCTATGGTCATAGTGTGACAAGGCTACTTGTATGCGAGGAGATTTAGAATGCCATTACTCATTACCGAAGGAAGGACAACAGTAATATTGATGCCATTATTTATTATTAATTGTATTTTTTTTTATGTGACAGGAGGCAAACGAGCAGGCGGATCACCTGATGGTAAGTGATTACCGTTTGGTTGCATTCTAAATTTTAAAGGTTGAATCACATCTCTACCTGAATTCTTTTACCAAGATAAGATTTTCTAAGATAACTTAGAAATGTGATATCCACTAAATAAGATTTTTCTTAAAACTTTCCAATATTAACTTTTAATCAACTAGTACTTTGACTATAATTGATTTTGTTTGAAATATTAGTACATAGTACTTATTTATTATTCTGTGGTATTAGTATCAAAACGGGTCGCGTTGAAGTTTATAAGGATAAAACCCTCTCGTGCCAAATCAAACTACGGAGGGCCGGCACGCCCGTTGAATGGGGCAATCAACAGGAAAAAACATTACCCTCCGTTTCAGACAAGTTAGATAACACTGGACACACAAACTTCGGGATAATAACGCAATGTCAGTAGTTGTCAATAATGACAATATTACTGTCATTGCTTCCTACGGTAATGAATGACATTAACATCTCTCCACATACAAATAGCCTTGTCGCACTATAACCGTAATTCCTTCAACCACGAGTGTGGTGATCAGTAATTAAATATTAATCATCATCTAAGCCACAGGACGTCCACTGTTGAACATAGGCCTGTAAATGTTGTATAATGGTAATTTTCAATAAACATTGCCGCCATGAAAACCAGGGTCCGGGTCTTCCTCATCGTGGGGCCGTGGGCTCAACAGAATATACTGAGTGGGATCCCATTGCGCAGAGCATCGCTGTTGCGAGAGGGTGGCACTGCTCAGATCACTTTTTCTTTCCTTGTAATGTTTATTTATGTACCATTTCTATCTTTTTTTTTCCACTTTTGGCTTTGTGTAATGTCATCATCGTCATCGTAATAAATGTTTCTTACTTTTAAACACATAATATTCAATTTTATGAATTGACAATGTTATCAAAGTTTGTGGTACCTTAACAAACGTATTAAATTATATCACCAACCTCAAATCTTCTCTTTCTTTTATTCCCTAGTTCTTTAAAACCTACATTACACAAAATGGCGTTGGCGCCCGGCGTCTATATCTATCTTGTCTACGCCCACTGAGCATCGCTAGTCCGGTAAACTCGGGTAAAAAAGCCGAATTCGAGTTATTTAGATGAACCTATTTAACGCGAGCACAAACGGTAGATGAAGGGTGAATATATTATGCCTTGAAATGCTTTTAATTTAATGAACTAGGTGTTTAATTTTTAATTGGGGCGAAGTGAAAAGCCACTGACAGGTTCCGTGGCGTTCGGGTTGTTAATTAATTAAACTTTTTTTAGTTAAGCACACGTCTAGCTTGACGGTTAAGTGGTCAAAGCACTCATATCCATCCATTTACTGTCAGACCGTGACTTTGTCCGCGTACATTTCGATAAAGTATCCCAACTAATTATTGTTTTATTTAGGTGTTTTGTTGTGTTGTGTCCTAATGTTTTTTTTTAATAATTTTAATTCCTTAAACCTTTGTCCGATTTTGTGTGACGGAGTAGCAATCTATCTAATCTCTACAACCGATGTGAACGCCTCAACGTGACCACGACCGCTCTGCCCTCTGCCAAGAGCATAACGAATAAGAATAAGAAGTAGCAATCAATAGTCGTCTGAGTTACTACACATTGGCGATACATAAGCGTATGTATTTCATTAGAAATCTCGTGTGTGCTCCGCCTAAAAATCACCCCTTGACATATTGTTATCGGCATAATATTTTTTTGTGTACGGATGACCGCAGATGAATGAAAAAAAAAACAGTTTGTGACACCTTGTCTAGCGGCAATAGATGCGATTTTTCCACAGAAATATATCAATGTAGGTACACTGTACAGTAAAAAAACTTTCGTATTTTATTCGAATTTCAATTCTTTCATTTTATACGGCTTTTCAGAATAAAAGCTTGTAAAAATAGGGTCTCTCAGAGTGCTTGAAGTTTCTTCGAAGGTTTTATACAATTGTGTAGTAAAAAAGTTGATATTCTTGTTGAATTTTTCCATTAACAATACACAATACTCCTTCGGGAATATTGCGAGCAATTCATTTAGGGTAAAGTCACATGAAAAGGGCGCGTGAGCGGGGCGTTGTTGCTTTGAAGTTTTGATTTCGTTCTTTATGGAAAGGACCACGAAAGACCCAGCTGGTATCGGACTTACGTATTGGATACGCTCCTCCTATAGTAAACTGCCATGCTGTCTCGTGCTAGATTCCTTTTTTTTTATGTGACAGGAGGCAAACGAGCAGACGGATCAGATGAGTCTTAAGGTCACCTTCTAACAACGAGAACGTGTGGTAAGTAATTGCTTCTGAATGTATCGTAACTTCCTATTTTTTTCTATTTTTAAACCGGCAGACAGTGATGACTGAATTTGTTGCGGCGCTTCTTCTCAGCACTTGCCAAATGTTTGTTTCGAAGCGCTGGTAAAACAAAAAAAGAGTGAGACATGTAAAGGCTACTTATGAGTATTTGACGAGTTGTCAGTACTAATTTAATTAGTCTATACGAATAAAGGTGATTTTGATTTTGATGAGTAGATACAGTTCCATTCTGTTGTGTGGGGTACGCCCCACGGGTTACTGGAGTTGCGCCTGGGAGTTGTTGAAGGCTCGAAGAAGAAGCGCCCGATGCAGAGATATCGCTGTCTCTCTCTCGCCGGTGTTCACGTAGCGGGGTAGCGGGGAGGGGGTGTAGTGAAATAACAACCCCTTGTGTCTTGAGTGGGCTTGTACTGGCTGCTGTTGGCTTCTAGGGACTTCTTGTTTCTTAGTTGTTACTTCGTAGCTATCTTCAAGTGGACTGTGTTTTTGGCTCGGACCGCCGCTATATTTGGGCCCACCATGCCACTCTCCACTAGTGACGCCTACGCATTAATCTAACGCCGTATCGCGTGCCTCCGTGCGACAAGGACGGAGCGAGTGCGAGCGAGACGCAATACGGTGTGAGCGAGGGCCGCTAGTGGGAGCGAGACAACAAATACTTGCTTTTTCTCTTGAAAAGGCAATACCGTAAAGCGATTACGGCTCTATTTCCGATATGTCTGTCTCTGTCCTCCGTCGGAGGGTGAGTACCTATTTTCCTATCTTTTCTAACTACCTATTTTTTATGTTCTTTAACGATTTTTGCATAAAGGAGTCAGTTCCATTTTGTATGGACGAAAAACTCAGAATCAATTATTGGGACTAAATGAAGTTACCTTATATTAATTTACCCCAACCAAAGCTCAATGTCGTTATCGATGGAGTATAGAAGTTATAGACTGACAAAGTTTGTATAAAAAGTCATGGGTTAAGTAGGTACTTGCGATTTTTACCAGTATTTACAATCGTTCGTTCGTTCGTTTCAGCCGAAAGATGTCCACTGCTGGACAAAGGCCTCCCCCAAGTCTTTCCACAAAGACCGGTCCTGCGCCGCTTGCATCCAGTATTTACAATATTGGTGATATATTATTATTTACTTTAATAATAATAACAGGATCACTGTAATTATTATTAACTACTATCGCGCATTAACTTTTTAATTATGGCGAAATTCGTACCGCNATTTTTACAAGGACTGAACAAGTAAAGTTTAAAATAAAATTGAAATACAGCTTGTAAGGATGTCGTAAACTCATAATAATGTTGAACGTCAAAGGGCATACTACCTATATCCTCCTCTCTTATTAAAAATAATGTAAAATATTTTTCCCAAAAAGATCTGTTATTTTGGTCCATTTGAACCTTAGCGGCATCACAGCAGCCGAGCTGTAGGAAGAGAATTTATTTCCTAAAGTTTTTCTGAAGCCCAAAAGCTTAGGTTCTGGCGCCCATCTATGAGGACAAGGTCGTAGACAAGGATACATTGCAGCCTGAGTAGCTAGGTATTTCCTAGCTGTAAGCCAGACCACAAACTTTTAGTTGGCCGATAGTTGGATTGAGCTGTTATCAGTATGGCCTATGGAGATGTATGAAAGTGCGCATACTATCGGCCAACTAAAAATCGGTGGTCTAGCGCCTAGTTTTAGTTACTTACTTATTCAGTGATGATACCTAAAATTGATATGTAAAATTTATTTTCTGTTAATAAGTAGGCTTTTAAATAGCGCTTTTAGACGTCCCAGTATATACAGGGTGGCCAAAACAGTGAGGTCTAAAAGAAAAATTTAGATTCCTTACATCAAGGTGTACCTAAATCACCCCCATGCATCGTTTAGGAGATATAGTTAATTTTGTGATATTTTCAAATTTTGTGACCTAGTAGGCTTTAAACATTTTTATCTTTTTTTTGGGTTGACTTTTTTCAGATTTCTTTTTTTCGACAGATTTGTTATTAATTGCAGATGTTTGAAAAAAATAATCACCTTCCTATCTTTGATTCAAGATACAAAAGTTTTGCTAGAAACATTAAAATTATGCTTTTATCAGAACACTATCAAATTTTCAACTTAAAAGTTTAAGTAAAAAAAGAACTTCCATAGGTCCAAAACCATTTTAAAAACTGCGCCGTTTCCTGAACATTCATAATAATACAAAAAAACATGTACTTAATGGGCCACTATTTCCTGTAATCGGTCCACTAAAGTGGTAAGTCGGAGTTTCCGTTACATGTTTTTGACTTTCTTAGAGTGAATTGATATTGGGAATCCTCTAAGTTTACATTACGTAGAACAGATTTAGAGCAGTAACTGGACAGAACATGTTTTTATTCTCAACGAGGAAGCTCTTGCCTTTCATCACACCTGGCGGAAACTGATGATTAGGCTGAAGGTGGAAGGGAACTTCAAAAGTAAATGTTCAAAATGTCCGCCGTTGACCTGAATGCACATACGACAACGACGCAAAAAAATTCTTTGTAAAACCTTCTTCTTCATTTTAATTTGGTTTTGTGCTTCAGTCAGCTTTGTCCGCAGTTCATCAATATTTTCATATTCCCTATTGTATACCAGATGAAGGGCAAGAGCTTCCTCGTTGTGGATAAAAAAAATTCTTTTCAGATATTGTCTCTAAATGTGTTCTACGTAACGTAAACTTAGAGAATTGCAAACATTAGTTAGTCCTAAGAAAGTCAAAAACATGTAACAGAATCTCCGACTTACCACTTTAGTGGAGCGATTACAGAAAATAATGGCCTATTAAGTACATGTTTTTTTGTGTTATTATGAAAGTTCAGAAAACTGCGCAGTTTTTGAAATTATTTTGGACCTATGGAATTACTTTTTTTTTTAAACTTTTGAGTTGAAAATTTTAGGATGTTCCGCTAAAAGCATATTTTTTTATGTTTCTAGCAAAAATTTTGTATCTTGCATCAAAGATAGGAAGCTGATTATTTTTTTCAAAAATCTGCAATTAATAGGGAATCTGTCAAAAAAAAGAAATCTGAGAAAAGTCGACCCAAAAAAAGATAAAAAAATTTAAAGCCTACTGGGTCGTACAATTTGAAAAAATCACAAAATTAACGATAACTTCTAAACTACGAAAAATCGTAGAACATACATGGGGGTGAAATCGATAGGTCTAGTCCTCACCTATCACCTGCCTTCGGCTTGACACCTTACAAGAAACACCCTGTATAACTTTGACTCTACCTCTTCTATTTCTATTCTATCTTTTTCGGGACAAAAAATGGGCCAGTGGAGAAGAAGCTGCGCATAGAACACTGAACACACCATTTGACTCGAGGTGACACGACGACTAACAAAGTGACTGAGTTTCTTTCGCTGCTTCTTCTCAGCACTGGCCCATTTATTGTTCTGCAGCAGTGATAGGGTTAATATTGGGACGTGTAAAAGTATTTTTTAAAAGCCTACTTGCATAAATAAATGAGTTTTTATACTGCAACTTTAAGCCTAAGTAGGTATTCGTTTGGTTCCAGTGTCCCACACGACGGACGACCTGATCTTCCAGTGGGACCCTGACGTGCCTCTGGTGGTGGACGAAAACATTGAGCTGCCTCAGCTGGAGCTGGTCCAGAACAGGACTGCTGACTGCACGCAGGTCTACTCCACTGGTACGTCTTTAGAAATATGCACATTTTGTAGAGGAAGTTGTGGACAATATTTTTGATGGGGAAGAAAAATAACTATACAGGTAATATTTAGGCCTACCACAAGTTGCACAATTTTGGCTCGATTAAGTCGCCGATATCGATGCGATTTTGGACGTGACTTGGGGTATGTCGCATAGCAATCACTAACTCGGATCGTAATCGTTTCTTTCTGAGATAAATTCGTACCTCGTAGTTACCTTCTCCTTTTTACGATTGACGACTTCCCGACTCTAGTTAAGCACTATTTTTTTTCATGCAAAATCCCTGTTATCGAATATTTAAGTGCTTAATAAGCAAAAGTATGTTCAACAAAGTGAGAAGAAAAAGACTCCAAAGTAAGCTTCGGCAAGTCGCTCTCATTAGAAGGGAAGGTGAGCAAATCCCAATGTTTACATACGAGTACAATGAGTTCATTGCTTCAGAGATTAAAGGACTAAATACCCACCATAAAGTTAACACGTAGCATCAAACTCCAGCCATCATTGTGGGATCATTCGTAATCCTAAGCTTCAGATTAGTTAATCTTGCGATAAAGAAACGATTATCACAATTTCTCAATGATGACGTCAAATGGAAGGTAAACAGTGTCTGAAGAAACTAGGTAGTTAATGAGTCAACATGTTTTCGTGTGAAGGTTAAAAGCATTTGGCTTCACTCCCAATAATATTCATAACAATGTTAGGAACAGATAGTTTTTAACAAACTAGTTTGTTTCATCTCACATCATCATCATTTCAGCAACAGGACGACCAACCACTGCTGGTGGTCCCCCAATGACTGCCAATTTCTCAATGATTTTATCTTCTATTCTATCTGATATTCATTTTAAGACTGGTCCAGCAGTGGACGTCATTTGGCTGAAACCCTCACAGGTTGGGTTTGATCGGAGACCACCCTGTAGATCCTGGCTATACAATATAACAGGAGAGTTGCAGTGGTGGTAAAGAGAGTTGGAAATTAATTCCCGTTAGTCAGTTTTGGATCCCCGTTTTGGAGCCCATCTTACCTCTAAGAATACTTCTAATAAGAAGGTTAAAGAAGGGTAAAGAAGACAAAGACACATATAAAAAATACCCTTATGTCCAAAGGGTACTACAAGGTTCGAGACTATTTGATGACAAGGATGCGTGGTCAGTTCAGTCTGCACATATTTGATGTACTTAAATTTGACTATTCTTACCGTTAGATAATTCCTGGCAATACTTAAGTGGTGACTGAGTTTGTTCCGGCGTTTCTTCTCAGCACTTGCCATATGTTTGTCTCGAAGCGCTGGTAGGGCCCAAAAGATAAGGAGACATGTAAAGTGCCCCATAAGGGCTACCTTTTTCTTTTTTTATTATTTTCTATTGACGTTCATAAGTGCCACTTGTGGTCTAAACTGAATAAATATTTTTGATTTTGATTTTGATTTTTGAAAGCCAAGAATTTGCTATTTTCAAAGTACTCAGGTACAGCTTGTTCCAGGAAACTTCACTTGTCTCGAGGTGATCTTCAAGCTGAAGCGGCGACTGGGGTACCACCTCTTCAACACCTACATACCGACCTGTCTCATCGTCATCATGTCCGTAAGTTGCAGGAGACAATGATTTGTGCCCACATAATGAAAGTACCTTCCTACTTGTATTTAAGATCAATTTTATAGAAGCTCGAATGGCAATGTGAAAATGATACCTAATGATAGAAGGAATCCAGGAGATTTATTGTCTTGCTATGGAAATCTCTATGGACGCCCTCTGCCCCATCTAGGGGACATAGGACCATAACTGCTATGGACATCTCTAAACACTGGTAGTTAATATCTCTCTTAGTGATCTCTCTCATCAAGTTAAACGAGAGAGACCTTACCAGCGGTGTTTCATAGGCAAATGCGAGTTTCACCTAGAATTTTCAACCACAGAGGAACTGGCCATCTACCACCAACTGCCGGAACACAACAATGTTGTAACATTGTTGTTAAGGTGACATACCTTAGTAAGATGGTGGTAGGTAGCTTGCCAGGCGTCTTGACTTTTCCTTGTTAAAAGCAAACCATTATCTGTTCCAGTGGGTATCTTTCTGGATCAAGCCTGACGCAGCTCCAGCGCGAGTGACGCTGGGCGTGACGTCACTGCTGACGCTGAGCACGCAGCACGCCAAGTCGCAGGCGCAGCTGCCGCCAGTATCCTACCTTAAAGCGGTGGACGCGTTCATGTCTGTTTGTACAGTGTACGTATCAGTTGAAGTCCGTTTATACAGTTCACTTATCATTTGCCACGTGACGCTGGGCGTGACGTCACTGCTGACGCTGAGCACGCAGCACGCCAAGTCGCAGGTGCAGCTGCCGCCAGTATCCTACCTCAAGGCGGTGGACGCGTTCATGTCTGTTTGTACAGTGTACGTATCAGTTGAAATCCGTTTATACAGTGCGCGTATCATTTGCCAAGTGACGCTGGGCGTGACGTCACTGCTGACGCTGAGCACGCAGCACGCCAAGTCGCAGGCGCAGCTGCCGCCAGTATCCTACCTTAAAGCGGTGGACGCGTTCATGTCTGTCTGTACAGTGTACGTATCGTTTGAAGTCCGTTTATACAGTGTGCGTATCATTTGAAGTGTGTTTGTACAGTGCACGCATCAGTTGAAGTCTGTTTGTACATTATACGTATCATTTGAACTCTGGTTAAACAGTGTACCCCCGTGTTCACAAACGATGCTTGCTTTTAAGTGAAGCAGCAAATCGAACGCACAGCGTTGAATAGAGCTCTGTGATTGGTTCATATGTCACCCTGTGCGTCCACGCGCACTGGGAGACCTCATAGTAATATTTGTGAATATCATTGAAGTCTGTACAGTGTACTTACGTACCATTGTAGCCTTTCTGTACACAGTTTGGATTCTTATTAAATCATTGAATTCGAGATGCCTACTGCTGGGTGAATGTTAATTGTTAAAGCTTGTGTTCTCCATTTTATGAGTTGCTTATCTGTCTCAAGAGATATCACTCAGACTCATTTGATTATGACAATTATTGTTGCAGATTCGTGTTCATGGCGCTCATGGAATATTGTCTAGTCAACATCGTCCTCGGTGATGGTGGCAAACCCAAGGTAACTAACTCCTTGGGATATATTTTGTAAGACAATCATTTAACACTTAAAGGACAATGTTCGTTCTCCATACATTGTTCGCCTAAGAACCAACAATTTTGACATATTACTACCCGAAAGCGAAATAATACGATTCTGTGTGTAAGAACAATGATTCCTGATGGACACTTGCCATAAAATTAATGATTAAGAATATTAACTTACAGCGATTTTATAATATGTCGTTTATGACAACATGGCGTCTAATGTATTAAGTGAATGTATGAACACCGATTCGCGAAAAATGTTTTGTATTGTCGTCACGCCGAGTCGCAGCCAAATAGTATAAAATAATAGAACAAGTTTTAGAAATACAACTCGGCATTCCACTTTTATAATATGCCCACATATTGCACGTAAATAAACAACATGAATCGTAGGTAATGAAAAATGATAAGCTCACGTTCCTCGCTTTGACTGCAAACCAGGAAACCGGTCGCGACAGCACAGCAGCCGGTGGTACTCGGATACTTCGAAAATGCAGATGGAATACAGCTGTGCCGCGCAGCGAAGTAACCCTGGAATGTTCAGCGAAATGCGTGAAAATAGGCACTAATTACTGATATTGCAAGACTTAGCTGTCTCTTAAAAACAGTTATTAAACACTTGAAATTAATGCACCTTGAATGATTGAATCTTGTATTGCAAATATTGGAATGAAATATTAAAATGTGAAATATTCACTCGGAAAGGTTTACTGTTGTCAAAAAATATAATAATCTTAGGAAATGTATGTTAGAATGTGGATTGAAACTGGATTGACGATATTTGTCGATATTGAACGAGAAATTGGATAAGAATATTGTAGAATGGAAGTTGCGGACGGGGCACTTAGCTATCTGATCTGCGCTGCGGTGTGATGCTCCTGTGACGTCACTGGCCCGGCCAGACGATGCTCGTTACCTCCTTAGATCCTTGGACAACCTCAGACTTCTTGTGTAAATTCCCTTTGCATACTAGTTTGCATGATGATGAAATTCGACCGTTGAACAAATTCCTTTCGTCGGATTTTTCTTGATATTTTGATGAAATTACTTGATGTCTCGATTTTTCCCCTCATGGGTCACCAAATTATGTTTCGTAGAACATGGTGCCATTTAATTAAAACACTTTCTTTTACGGTTTTACAAATATACCTATTGAAACCATGACAGTTCAGTACGACGACAAAAGCAAGAGAGAGAACAAAAGAAGTTCTAAACTAATTAAAAATAAAACGCCGCGCCGCGCACAGATTGGAGCAAGGAGGCTGAACGCCTCAACAGTAGGTTGTTTCCACCCTTGTCATCTGATGTCTGACACATGAAATAAACTCCTATTGTATTATAGATATCGAAGCCGAATCGTATATAATAATAGAATGGGTTTTGGAGATCACTCGGGGTTCCACTTTTATAAAATACCTACATATTGCATAAAAATAACACGAATCATGAGTTTTCTTTTCACCATTTACATCTGACATGAGATAACAAACTCCTATCTCCATGACTACCATCGTAGTCTATGCCAAAGACTACAATATTTTAAGCAAGAAGTTTCAAACCTTAGCGGCTACGGTAACCCATGAGGCCACATACATCGTGATAACATTCGGTCGACACTGGAACGAAGTCTTGCGATTATGCAAAAAAGCATCGTATTCTAGTGCGGCTATATCACGTTCAACCGGGGTTTTAATTCGACTAAAGTCCTGACTAAAGACTGGAAGAAAATACGCCGCATTGTATGAGCACTTCGTGTTCGCTAAAGCGGCTTCAGATCTAGAGCCCACATAGTTTTCTTTCCAATAATATCTGCAAGTAGCGCTGCATGATCTTTACAATAAAAATGGCAATAGTTATTAAGGTGCCAAAATTATATGATTACTTTGGCTTTTATTTTCAAAATCGATATTTTATTGTCTATGATGGCCGCAGGAACATCACTATACATGGACTCCCAGCAATAAAGTACGGTAATGCCTCGTACAGATTTTATCGGCAAAAATTATGGAACTTGATAGGTTTTAGACCATGCCACGTACCAAAACGTCCGGAAGTTGTAATAGTATTATAGAATAAACGTTAAAAGACTTATTTATTTAATTTTTCAATGCTTAAGTGTCCATTAGAACGAAAGGGTGCTTAATGTATTAAAAAAAATTGAAAATAATTATGATGGGTTAATGTTTTTTGGCGGTTTTTTAGGCGGTTTCTGACAATGTCCTTTGGTCATCTGCGGAATGACGTCTGTACAGTCGAAAGTACACTATTTTTTATTGCAAACTCGCCCTAATAACAACCATACATAGATGCCACACCTAACTGTCGTCGGTACATGAAGCGTTTATTGCCGCAGGACGCAGCAGAAGCGGAGAAGGCGAAGCAGCGCGCCATCAACATCGACCGCTTCTCGCGCGTATTCTTCCCGCTCCTTTTCTCGGTGCTCAACGCCACCTACTGGATCCAGTTCGCGCAGTACATCTGACTGGGCTAACTCGCGAGGGTAGTGTTGCAAACTAGTCCTTAATACAACTAGATAAGATCTCAACTCAAGTGTTTAGCTTACCTTAGCTCGCTGTTTAAAAGAAGCGGAGAAATCAAAGCAGCGCTGCAGCGCGCCATTAACATCGACCGCTACATAAAGCGTTGTTTGCCGAAGCTAGCCTAGGATGCGCGCCATTAGGCTACGGTTTCCTATTAAACGCTATACGACGTCAGCGTCAAATATTCCTATCGACGTCTATAGTATCCATACTGTCCATACGCTGACGTCAACGTTTAAAAGAGACCAGAACAGTTAATTTTTATAAAAGCATTGTGGACGTGACCTATGACGGCCTTTATCTTATATCGTTTTCTCGAAGCATTTTATCGATTTTAGACGATAAACCCATACATTTGGCTTCTAAAATCGACGATAAGATAAATCGCGGGGTGCTTCCTAGGCTAGCAGGACGCAGCAGAAGCGGAGAAGGCGAAGCAGCGCGCCATCAACATCGACCGCGTGTTCTTCCCGCTCCTGTTCTCGGTGCTCAACGCGACATATTGGATCCAGTTCGCGCAGTACATCTGACTGTACTGTAGTGTTGTCAACTAGTCCTCAATACAACTGCTTAAGATCGTGTTTAGCTACCTGAGCTCGCTGTCTAAAAGAAGCGGAGAAATCGAAGCAGCGCTGCAGCGCGCCATTAACATCGACCGCTACATAAAGGGTTTTTTGCCGAAGCTAGCCTAGGATGCGCGCCATTAGGCTACGATCTAATTATTCGCTATAGCGGCGTACGATGTCAGCGTCCAACCTTCCTATCGACGTCTATATCTAGTGTCCATAAGCCGACGTCTACGTTTGAAAGAGACTACAACAGTACATTAATTTCTATACGGATGTCTACATGAAGCGTTTATCTAGTTCGCACAGTACCTACATATATCTGACGCGGTTAACGCGGTGGTAGTGTTGCCAACTAGTCCTTTCCCTATCACAACTGTTAGGCTCGCTGTCTAAAAGAAGCGGAGAAAACACTTCTCGCGGTCTCTTTGTTCTTCAATTTACTCCATCAATAGTTACCATCTCATTTTGAGCAGTCGATAGCATCAACTATCCATCCATAAACTATAAAACTATCGATACGAGACCATCGACAACACTAGATGTAACGTCCGGAACTTACAGAAAGTAGGAACTCAGCTTTAGGTACAGTCTCTCACAACATGAGGTTTAATAATTATAATAAACTAAAATAATAATTACTACTTAGGTATAATGAAAACCAAAACAATAGTCGAATCCAAGACCGCTGAAATTCTAAAGACGAGATTACAGTACAGCGTTACAATAACTGTAGTCATTTTACTAGCAATAAATTAAAGAATTTGAATTTACTCGTATTCAATCTATTTAATACTTATCAAGTTCCTAAGGGGTTGAGCTATGTTTGAATAGCAAAAACGAAAATAGTAACACCAATAGATGGCGCTATGTGCCAGTTGAATCGCGGTAGAAACGTTCGTAAACAAGATCATTGACATACCTAAATTCTCTCGAATCCTAATGCACATAGCTCAGCCCCATCTCTAAATCATCTTTATGGAGTTAAAGTTAAGAATAAAATAATTTAACACTCATGGTGCATTCAGAGACAAGACCTTACATTTAGGTAACAGTAACCTATAGGCATAGGTAGAAGCAGCTACGTGAAGGAGGAAATACTTACTTGTAGACCATGATAGAAGGCTTTTAGCAAGATGGTAGTTAATTCGAAATGTCTCTGATTGCACCATTAATATAATATTTTGCTTACTTAATTAATAGGCCAGTAGAATTAAACACAAAAATTGATTAAATCGGAAATAATTCCTACAAAAGATTTTTTTGCTTTAATGGCTTCATTGGTTGCCCATTAAGACTCTCCTAAGTTTTCGACTTCGACGGAGTTGTGCTTAAGTGGTGGGGGCCCCCGAAAGCGGCGTTTTTTCGGTTTTCCGGTTATACCGCGTAAAGGACTTACCCTATCGAAAAGTGGTCTCCATGACGGTTAAAAGGCACTTAATCCTGCATTGAATAAGACCAAATTCATATGTTTTGGACAAACCGTTCTCGCGCTAAAGTTCGGCAAAGTAGAAAATATACGTATAATTAATGACCCTCTCCACGTCCAATGGCTTGTTACCCACATGCTTCCAAGCCTTGTAAAGGGTCGCCTTAATCAGTGTAACCCTAACAAGGCTCACGAGTTTGATTCGCTTATCCTTGTTCGTCCCAGCCGTTCCTTAACTGCGGTTGCTGCACCTCTTCCTGACACTCTCCTGAACGACTCTGTGTTACCTAATGTGGCTGCCTCTCTTCCTTGTACCCTCCTGTACGATTGCATTGCTTAGCTATATGCCTGGTCCAAGGTTCGACGCCACAAAATCAACTTCGTACGAGTGAAAATAGTTTAAATACTATTTCCCGTGCTTGCAACATTTTTCTTTACTGCTTCGCCTCTATTAGTCGTAGAGTGATTGTATATATCCTATAGCCTTCCTCAATGTATGAGCTATTCAACACAAAAATAATGATTTCAATCAAACTAGTAATTCTTAAGATTAGCGCGTTCAAACAAACAAACAAAAAACTCTTCAGCGTTTTAATATGAACTTGTTGTTGTTGATTTTTGGCGTCGAACCTTAGACCAGGCATACGGCTAGGCAACGTAGTCATGCAGGAGGATACAAGGAAGAGGGGCAGCCACAGTAGGTAACACAGAGTCGTTCAGGTGAGTGCCAGGAAGAGGTGCAGCAACCGCAGTTAAGGAACGGCTGGGACGAACAAGGATAGGCGCATCAAGCTCGTAAGCCTTGATAGAGTTACACTGGTTGAGGTGGCCCTTTTCAAGACTTGGAAGCCTGTGGGTAACAAACCATTGGACGTGGAGAGGGTCATTAATTATACGTATACTTTCTACTTTTCCGAACATTAGCTCGAGAACGGTTTGTCCAAAACATATGAATTTGGTCTTATTCAATGCAGGATTAAGTGCCCTTCAACCGTCATGAAGACCACTTTTTGATAGGGTAAGTCCTTTACGCGGTATAACCGGAAAACCGAAAAAATGCCGCTTTCGGGGGCCCCCACCACTTAAGCACAACTCCGTCGAAGTCGAAAACTTAGGAGAGTCTTAATGGGCAACCAATGAAGCCATTAAAAGAATAAAATCTTTTGTAGGAATTATTTCCGATTTAAAAGCTAATTCTACTGGACTATAAGGTAGCATTCTTTTTCAACCTTTATCATTCAGTAAGGCCCAGAACAGACGGTGAAACGCAACTGCAACGAAACTGCAACTGCTAGTTACTTTTGAGTTGCATCTAAGTTTCTGCCATAGCGTTCGTTGAGAGACCACACATGACGCGACCAGTTCGAAACTTTCAGTTTCAGTTTCATTCATCAGTATCATCAGAAAGTTTCAGTTTCGTTGCAGTTGCGTTTCACCGTCTGTTCTGGGCCTAAGAGTTTGATTAAATCGATCAATTTAATAAATTACATTTCTCTGCATTTCTACAAGGAAATTCTAAACTTAATAATTTAAACATTCAATAATACTAATTTAGATTGATACAAGTTGTCTGTCTAATAATTAAGTAGGTAGTTTCTAGTCGTCTGGTTCTATTTGAAGTTATTATTATGTAAAAATGTACAAACTGTAGTTAATAATTACTATGTACCTGATAAGAGTAGTGCATATGTATTGTTAATTATAAATAGGTATATTGTTTAAACTGTAACTGTTTTCCCTTAACTTATATGATTTTCAACTTTAAACTCAAATTCAATTATTTATTGCTCCATGTTTATTGCAATTTCAAATTAAATTCATAAAATTATTTCTTACTAACTATTAATTATGAGATTTTGAACTTTCGATGTGCGAACCTGGGATTTACGCACTTCCACTTGGGAAATCACCTGTTGCCACCTCTATTCTATTTTTTTTTGTCCTAACTTACCGGTCTACCTATGACGCTATTACTATAGTTTTACCTGGTTGAGCAAGGTAATAAAAACGCAAAATAATGTTTTAAAAGTGCCTATTTAACTGGTTACTGTTACTTACACCATAGGGCAGGCAGAAAGTTTCAATTGTTGTTTGAATTTATAAAATGTTTATGGTCTTTTAAAATACAGTCTATTGATACCATGCATGGTTGGCGCTTAATTTAGTACAATGATGATAATTATTACATTAGTAAATCTGTTTTATGATAAAATAAATTAATTATCCGTTATAGGTATTGTCTTTTCACTACACGTCTTAATTTAATTTGAAGTTCGTTTGATATTAATGTGGAGAAGAAAAGTTGCAGCTAAAATGATGTTTTTAAAGTGTTTTATCTGTCCTGTTAATAAAATAATTAATTATTTAAATTATGTCTTCAACCATTTATGGAAACTTTTGCGAATATTGACCACAAACTTGTGAATGTTGCGTAATTTTACTCGATCAATTCAAGTTCATGATCAAGGTGATATTTGTCATATCCACGCGTAACTGCTCACTGTAGCCACACGACGTGCTGGAGCGATAGCAATACAATAGCAATTACATATGACAGCCAATTTGTGTAAAATATGACAGGGTCGTCTGGTCAGGCAGGGGCCAAAATATGGTCTGCAAATTATTTCGGATTTCGCCGGCGGTGACTTGCCGCGCGTCCAGTGAGGAGGAAAGCGAAATCACGGGACGCAACGGTTTCATAACAAATTAATCTTGGTGGTGCTTTTAAACAGTATCGCTCAAATGTAAAGATTGATTCTTTGACTAGCTATGTCCTTCTCTTCTAATCGGTAGGTAACGCTTAAGTATCCTGAAGAGGCATGAGGTTAATGTGTAGGTAGGTACCTTACATAAGTAAGTAGGTAATCAAATATCAGATGTAGTAGGTACCTACTACCTACTTAGCCTTCTTACTCTAAGGTATGATGATGGATGAAGTTATTATCATCATCAGCTCCCACTCAATCACTAGTTCTGTTTCTGAATAATAATTGTGATCAGAAACCGAAGGATTAACCACGGGGACCGCACGCATTAAGTACTTAATCCTAAAATTATTAAGTGTCCTGTGGGATCATAACATATACATATTCCTAATTAATAGCACTAATTGCCTACTCACGGAATCATAATGTTGCTCGCTCAAATATGTACGAAACATGATTTGAAATGTATGTTCTTTGATAAAAACTTTTTATCTCTAACGGGAAAAGTAATTCATCAATTACTCGCGGAACGGAACGTTGATAACTCAGTCTGCGTTGAGTTCTCTTGTGCCAGCGTTTGCATTGCAATATTGTTTAATAAGTGGTATTTTTTGTTCAGTTGTAAAAAGTGTATGTCCTCAATTAATAAAAGTTTAATGCAAATTTTAAGTCCAAGTTCATGGTCACCATTCCATTCCGCGAAGTGCGATTCGCTGTCACCGGACTGTCATGTCGGTTGTCATTGTCATATGTCAGTCGGTCGCTGGATGACGTACGATTTGAACG